TGGGCTCCAGACCTGCCCCCCCCTTGGGCCGCCGTCCTGCTGCGGCCACGGGTGACGGGAGCAGCAGGAGTGCCCGTGCCGTTGTGTTTAATCGTCGCCCACGGTTGGTCTCGTGGATTCACCTCTTCCCTCTTCGAACCCGTCAGAGATTTCCATTTCTGCAATCGTCTGTGGCAGCGAATCCGGCAAGTTTCTTGCAGGTTCTTGCAGAGGCAGCGCTTCCCCAGGTTTCCAGCCTCCAAAACTCCTTTATTATTTTTACGCTATTAACACAGGGCCAGCGCTGCTCCTTTGTTTCGGCCGCCCGGCCCGTAGCCATCTGCCTTTGGGGGGAGGATGTCGCTCCTCCTCCAAGGCAGGTGAAGGACCCCGGTTTTGTTAGGAGTGGCTGCTGGCCACTTCTACGTGCACGGTGTTCTCCAGGCTCTGGCTCCTCCACCGGTGGGTCTGGTTTTATTTGGGAAGTCTGTTGTTTCACCAGCTCCTGGAGATTATTTGGCTGTAAACGCAGCGTTCGTGATTTCTGTGGCAGGAGAGAGGGTGTTTCCTGCGCCGCTCAAAGCCGGGGCTGATTGTTACAGCCTTCTTAAGCCGATTACAATGTTCTGCCAATTACATAACGTACACATAATTAATTGTGTTCAATTTCTATCGTGAGCATAGATTACAGCGTGCCTTCAGCGCTTTATCTGCACTGCGTACGACACGCTGGTGGTGCAGCCTGAGCGCAGCGCTCGGGGCGCTGCTTTCACCGCGAGGGGCCCTCGGTCCCGGGGTCCTTTACACCGTGTGCCCCCCAAAAAGGCGTCTCGTCTCCGGTGCTTCCCTCGTCCCGTGTACCTTGGGGAAGGGGATGCTGTAGGGGTTTTTGTGCTCCCGCCGGGCAGGCGAGGGGTCCCCAGCCCGCGGTGCCTGGGCTCCGCTGCCTTCCTGCCCTCGGCTCTGCCGCTCCTCCCCGTCCTGCAGCGCCCGCCGGGCACGGGCAGCGGCGGCACCTCCTGCAGCTTGTGTCGCCAGATGAGGTGGGAGGGAAGAGCTGTAAATCTCCTGCCTGGAGGGAGCAGGGAGAGCGTGGCAGGATCCTTGTTAGTGTCTCGAGGGAGACCATGGTGACCTGATGATTTCTCCTTCTGTTCTGCAGATTCGTTTGTGAACAGCCAGGAATGGACCCTGAGTCGCTCGGTGCCTGAGCTGAAGGTGGTGAGTACTCGCGACTCGGGTACCCCGGCGTATCTGGTGCTCCTCCAAATCCCCGGGAAACCCCCACGTTTTAACGTGGCCAAGTGGAAATGCAAAGGGGCTTTGGCCTCATGGAGGGGAGAGAGGAGCCGGGGCTGCCGCCGTGCTGGGGAAGGCAAGGGCTTCTCGGTGGTCTTCTTGGTCTGGGAGAGCGCTCGCATGTGAAGGTCGAAAGGGAACATTTGAGCACCTCAGGCTTCCTGCTGGCCACAGCCGAGATGTGGTTCCCGCTCGGGTACCGCGGCACAGGCTGGACCTTCTGGCGTGGCAGAAGCAGGGGCAGATCCCGAGCGGCGGTTCAGGCGCGCGTCCACGGTCATCGCCCCCAGAGCAGCCGTCCAGGCGTGGGAGGGGTCACCTCTCCGTTTGAGCCTGGCTGACTTCAGCTCTGCGCCGGTGCTTCCTCGGCCTCTGCTGGCCACCTCCCAGACACCGCTGCCCGCGGTGTCCCTGCCGCGGAGGGATGCTGGTGGGGCGGAACCCTCACCTCTGGGGCTTTGCTCTGCCAAGCAGAGGGGATGAAGCTCCTCTGGTTTGTCAGCGTGGGGTGGGTTTCCCAGGGCACGCCGTTACCTGTGGGATACGGTCTGTGGTATGGGGCTGCCTCTGCCCCCTCTCGCCCCGACACAGCCCGTGTGTGTGGGACGAGGCCGTGAAGGAGCGGGTCTGGTCTCAGTGTGCGGCACCTCTGAGAAGGGGACGTTTCCCACGGCCTGCCGTCGCTGATGGCCGTGTGCCGGCTCGCCAGGGCCAGCTGTGGGCCAGCACAGGTCGGCAGTGCAGGAGGACAGAATCACAGAGTCACAGGATGGTGGGGGCTGGAAGGGCCCCCTGGAGCTCCCCCCATGGCACCC